CCCTGCTCAGAGGTAGAGCATTTGCCTAGCACTGATTGCAGAGGCCCCGGGTTCAGTCACCACTGTTGGAAAAAACCATGAACACCTAAGTCAGAGCCTGTCATCCCTCACTGCTGTTAGAGAAACTACCCTGAAAACTCCAAACACCCTGTGGGCTCACCCGGACTCCAGCAACCTCTGCCGACCCCTCCCAATCTCCTCTCCTTCCAAGCCTCCGCCACCCCCAACCTACTCCACGGGGACTCTTGCCCTCAGCCAGCCAGTCCTGTGCCCTTGGCCTTCTATCCCCACTGCCCAGTACAAAGGCAGCTCTCCCCGTGCCTGTGTGCCGGTGAGCGACCTCATCTGCAGATAAGCAAACTGAGGTGTGGAAAGGTCAGTCACATGCTGAGCCCACCACCTGAGGACATCAGGGAGCCACCAGGACTCCAACCCAGGCCCCTCCCTCTCAGCCAATGGTCACGTCGCCCGCCCACCCCTTCCCGCCAGACCTGCCCAGTGCCAAGGCTGCCCCGTTCCTGGGGAGGAAGCCGCGACCCCCTGGCAGCTCACAGCCTCTGCAGGGGGACGGGAGGGACAGCGGCCCTGGCTGGGAGCCTCCAGCAGTCCAGGACCTCGCTCTCTACCCAGCCAGTCCTCACAGTGTGCACGGCTGGGAGGGAACAGGCACCTGGGGGATGGGGAGGCTGCTCCCCAGGGCCGAGGCCTCTGCTGGAGCCCCGCCAGAGCCCCTCTGAGCCCGAGTCTCACCATCCAAGGTTTCCACATGGAGGCGGAGTCCCAGGTCCTTGTTACGGCTCAACAACCAGCGGTCACTGGCTGCCGTGACGTCCAGCACCAGCCAGCCCTCGTCTCCTGCTCTGAGGGTCTGAAGATCCAAAAAGAACAAGTCAGACTCCCTGTGGACACGAAAGAACAATTAACTGAGGGTGGAGGGCCAGCCCCGCTACCTCTGGGGACCATGACTGGCGCAGCCACCCCTCCCTGGCTCTGGGCTGGGCTCCTTCTCCGCCGCACGTCACTCGTACTCCGCCCCAAACCATGTTTCTGTGCCCGCGTGCAGGTGGGGAGACTGAGGCCCAGTGGCTCAGGGACCCGTCCAAAGCCCCACAGCCGGGATGGCAGGGCAGGGCCGCTCAGGCCTGGCATCTTTCCCACCTGGGAGGCCGTTCTCCCGGGCAGCCTCCCTTTCCTCCTCTGAGAAACGCTCCCCAGCCTAGGACACAGTGCCCGAGCCTTGACCAGGGCACAGGGAGGCCGGGCTGGCGAGGAGAGGCACCTGTTGGAGTGCTCCTGGACCACCTCGAACACGCTGACGTGGAGAGTCGTGTTGAGCGGGTGTGTGCTGGGCACCTTATAAATCCGGAACTCGGCAGCTGTGACCGCCTCCCCCGCCGGGATCTGCGTCAGATCGAAGCGGAACTCCTTCCAGTGGGGCTCGTGGTGGCCCAGGGCATGGTCACGCTCCACTGGAAGACGAAGCAGGAGACAGGCGCTTCAGAGCGGCGGGGAGAGCTCGGGCTCGGGAGCAGGAACCCAGGCAGCCTGGCTGGGGCCGGTTTCTTCTGCAAACAGCCTGTTCCAGGCTCGGCCCCAGGTGGAGACAGGGCTCCACCAGGTCGCTTAGTGAGCGGCTCTGGCAAATGCTCAACAGACCCATGCCCCAAACCCCACTGCAAGCCCCCACCGGGCCCCCTGCCAGC